AGTTGACTGAAAACATGGAGAGTTGACTGAAAACATGGAGAGTTGACTGAAAACATGGAGAGTTGACTGAAAACATGGAGAGTTGACTGAAAACATGGAGAGTTGACTGAAAACATGGAGAGTTGACTGAAAACATGGAGAGTTGACTGAAAACATGGAGAGTTGACTGAAAACATGGAGAGTTGACTGAAACATGGAGAGTTGACTGAAAACATGGAGAGTTGACTGAAAACATGGAGAGTTGACTGAAAACATGGAGAGTTGACTGAAAACATGGAGAGTTGACTGAAAACATGGAGAGTTGACTGAAAACATGGAGAGTTGACTGAAAACATGGAGAGTTGACTGAAAACATGGAGAGTTGACTGAAAACATGGAGAGTTGACTGAAAACATGGAGAGTTGACTGAAAACATGGAGAGTTGACTGAAAACATGGAGAGTTGACTGAAAACATGAAGAGTTGACTGAAAACATGAGAGTTGACTGAAAACATGGAGAGTTGACTGAAAACATGGAGAGTTGACTGAAAACATGGAGAGTTGACTGAAAACATGGAGAGTTTACTGAAAACATGGAGAGTTGACTGAAAACATGGAGAGTTGACTGAAAACATGGAGAGTTGACTGAAAACATGGAGAGTTGACTGAAAACATGGAGAATTGACTGAAAATGTGGGGAGTTGACTGAAAACATGGAGAGTTGACTGAAAACATGGAGAGTTGACTGAAAACATGGAGAGTTGACTGAAAACATGGAGAGTTGACTGAAAACATGGAGAGTTGACTGAAAACATGGAGAGTTGACTGAAAACATGGAGAGTTGACTGAAAACATGGAGAGTTGACTGAAAACATGGAGAATTGCCTGAAAATATGGAGTGTTGACTGAAAATTTGAAGAGCTGACTGAAAACATGGAGAGTTTGGACTGAAAATGTGGAGAGCATCACAGTTTATACGTCTCTTTTTTTAAAAATTGTTTCTTAAATTTGTTTTTCGGTTCTCTGGCATAAATTTTAATTCTCTGTATTTTTTTTGTTAAACATTAATATTTGCATTCTTAATCGTTTTTTTACATTTTCAGACAATCTGCATCATTTTAAGATAATCTTCAGCACTTTCAGACATTAAGCAACATTTTCAGTCAACTCCCCACATTTTCAGTCAACTTCCCACATTTTCAGTCAACTCAATTTATATTTATATTTATACTTATATTAATATTTATATTTATATTTATATTTATATTTATATTTTCTCTCTCCATATTTATACTCTCCATATTTGCAGTCGACTCTTAACATTTTCAGTCAGAACTCTCCATATTTTCAGTCGCAACTCTCCATATTTTCAGTTGCAACTCTCCATATTTTCAGTCAACTCTCAACATTTTAAGCCACAACTCTCAACATTTTCAGCCACAACTCTCAACATTTTCAGCCACAACTCTCAACATTTTCAGCCACAACTCTCAACATTTTCAGTCAACTCTCAACATTTTCAGTCAAGTCTTCATATTTTCAGTCGGCTCTCCATATTGTCAGTCGGCTCTCCATATTTTCAGTCGACCCTCCATATTTTCAGTCAACTCTCCATGTTTTCAGTCGACTCTCCATGTTTTCAGACGACTCTCCATGTTTTCAGACGACTCTCCGCATTTTCAGTCGACTCTCCGCATTTTCAGTCGACTCTCCGCATTTTCAGTCAACTCTCCATATTTTCAGTCAACTCTCCATATTTTCAGTCACAACTCTCAACATTTTCAGTCACAACTCTCCATATTTTCAGTCACAACTCTCCATATTTTCAGCCACAACTCTCCATATTTTCAGTCACAACTCTCCATATTTTCAGTCACAACTCTCCATATTTTCAGTCACAACTCTCAACATTTTCAGTCAATTCTCCCCACATTTTCAGTCAACTCTTCACATTTTCAGTCAACTCTCAACATTTTCAGACAACTCTCCGTATTTTCAGACAACTCTCCGTATTTTCAGACAACTCTCCGTATTTTCAGACAACTCTCCGTATTTTCAGCCAACTCTCCATATTTTCAGCCAACTCTCCGTATTTTCAGCCAACTCTCCGTATTTTCAGCCAACTCTCCGTATTTTCAGCCAACTCTCCGTATTTTCAGCCAACTCTCCATATTTTCAGTCAACTCTCCATATTTTCAGTCAACTCTCCATATTTTCAGTCACAACTCTCAACATTTTTAGTCAATTCATGCAACTTAAAACATTTTCAGACCATGTGCGACAATTTCAAATAAACTACAATAAATATGTATGCTCATTTTTACAGCCATGTTGCCTTGCATAGATTTTTGAGAACATTTTTTCAATTAATTATATATTTATAAGTTTTAATATTAATAATATTATAACAAACCAAATATATTAATATTTTTCCAGTACATTTACATATGAACTTGGTTTTCTATATAGTTGTGATCTTGATTTTCTACACTAACCTCACTCAATATGCGAATCCTTGACTTATTACAAAACAGTAATTTTCAGTGGCATGGAAACGAATGCATAATAATCTATAAAGGAAGTGCAACGCGTAATAATAATATTTAAGTAGTTTGAAAATATGTTTTTATAAATAAAACTGGTTGCTGATACAAATGACCGTGTAATAAGTGATAATTTCTGTTTTAAAATATTTATTACTTTTAACTATCTGCTTTATACTTGTCATGACAAGTAAATTTTTCTTTTTATGATAACAAGCCCGAGTCATTTGGTATTTTTGGTGTAAGTGGTTCCAGATATAGAACAGACTTTAACTTAGTATTTTTGTGAAATATTTTAAGAAACCTGCATAACATTGTCTCCATAATATTAAAATTATATTATACAGTTATAACCAAATATGAATATGAAAATGAATTTTATCATTCCATATAAATTATAATTAATTATTAGCCTTTGATATTCGTTATTTATAAAATTTCGCTCAGTGGCATTTAAGTTATACTAATTCACCTAAATTAGAATAATTAACTTTTACATTTTAAGTAATAGATATCAAAATATTTTGAGTATCCCAGAACTCAACGTCAAGTGAAACAGGGTGATAGTATTGACTGTAACTATCCAGAAAAAAAAATAAGAAAAAAAAAATTTACAGGTAATGTTCATGTATATATCAAATTAATTAGTAAGTAAGTAATTTTGAGTTTTGGGTTTGGAAATTATGAGCTTTTAAGTGCAACCTAGTGCTTTGGTGAAATTGTGACCAATTTTTTGGTTATTGCGGTTAATATTTAATTAATTTTAATTTTTTTTTAATTCATTCAAGTTGTAAGTTCATAGGCAAAAATAATGGCACCATTGCTCAAAGTTTTAATTAAATAAGACTTTTGTTGACTTAAAAATTTAGAATTTTTAAAATCGGTTAAGTTTGGGAGCAAAAAATCATGTCATTTCTAGTTTTTTCTACGAGAAATTCTATTTTATGAATGTATCGAGTATTTTACAATCCTGGATTTCAAGAAAAGTGCCTACTTTTCATGAAATTTGCAAACACACTTTAGTACTTTTTTTAAAGAAACCTTCTCAAAGTCGACCGGACTTGAAAAAAATTAAATTTATATTTCAACAAAGGGTCCTAATTCTTGAAAACTTGAGGCTATTGTGTCATTATTTTTGACCGTGATTCTAGAAATGTTACTTACAATTACGGATCGAAAGTTTAAATGAACAAAATTAATAAAAAGTAACCACAATAACCGAAAAGTAATCACTATTTCACCAATGTTCTAGGTTGCACCTAATAGCTCATAATTTCCAAATAAAGTGTTTTTTTATTTTTTTTCATGATTTTTTTTCATGATTGTTACGGTCAGCACAATCACCCTTTTTCGGCTTGACGTTGAATTCTGGGACACCCTGTATATCAAATTACTAGTACTAATTTGATATATATGCACATTACCTGTATAAAAAATCCTAAAACAATTAGCATTTATAAATTGTATTTTGAAATGTAATAATTACTTACAACGTTTTATTATGAGTATCAGCATATACATATGAACTTTAGGGGGTGTCCATTAATCACGTAAGATTTTTATGGGAGGGCTGTATTTATTTTTTATTTGATTTTTTTTAAAAAAATCCAAAGTTTTTCAAAAAAAAATCGAAACATTTACAATTTTTTCTCGTAACTAAAAATACACGTAATGTTTGTTGGGGAAGGGGGGTAATTTTGATTATCACCAAAAGGGATCGGGGTTCCAAAAATTCTTAAAAAATCGATCACGTGATTATGCCTCCTTATCAGATTTATATACATTTATCAATTGATAATAGAGATGTTTTCATATAAAAGGCAAGATTTATTAGATTTATTGATATAATGCCCCTAAAATTAAAGTATGTAAATGTATATAAAAGCATTTTTACTTAAAAACCTCGATGCCAAAATTTATTTTTCCTTCGCTAACTCAATAAACGTTTCATTTTTACATATTTTTCGCGCCTATTAAATTACCTTTTCTCGTTGTATTTCGTCTTAGCACTTAAGTTAGAGCAATTACTAAATCGCACATTTTTAAAAGCTCTAGGTAAGTGCGATGACCTTTTGAAGTAACAAGTAACTCACGTGGGCGAAATAAAAGCCCGGCTTGCTCTTGCTATATATGGTACTGACTAGCGTGAATCTAATTGCGTTCTCGGCTTTTCTCTCGTTAATGCTGATAAATCAACTTATAAACGATAATTGGATTTATAGCGTAAAGGAAAATTTAATTCCTCATTTATAAATGTCTGGTACTTTTATTTTTCTTAGGTGCAAAAAGAAATTTTACGATAATTCATTTGCCAGGCAGGCTATTCTGTTTTTTTCCTCTAATGGTGATTTTTTATATTACCGATGTAAATAAAGTTCTGATTTTGTTTGTAATACATTAATATATAATATGACATTTTCTTGTAATATGGTGTAATAAATCTTCTGAATTTTTATCACGTTCTGTTATTGATTTCAGTCGAAGCCTGCGGTCACAGCGCCTCCGCCTACGGCCATCGGCAAGGGAGCTTTTGGGGGACCCATCATCAAGAAAGACAAACGGCAATCCAGTTCCAGATTTAATGTCACGAACAATCGAGAGCTAGTACAGTTGCCGGAAATAACTCGTGAGTAAAATAATAAATATATTGTATTTTTTTTTTTTTAATTTTTGTTTTAAAATGGTCTTTGCTTTACAGCATTTTTAGCCACACCTACATTATTCATATTATTTTTCATCATATTCTATACAATTCTTACATATATATTTCTTATACATTCATCGTATATATACTATCTCTTCTTATATCCTAATCTTCCATTCAATTTTCTTTCTTCGATTCCATTCAATTTTCATTCTTCTACTTGTTTCTCAATATGTTTTTCTCATCTTTTAAACTAAACTTCTTTTTTCCTTCTTACTTCTAATACAATAATTTTTTGTATCCTACAAATTAACAATTCTTAATCTACTTTAATATTTTATATTTTTAATTCTGGTATTGCTGGAGATTCGAAACGAATTCTTCCAGCGTGTGAGTCGAGAACGCTACTAAGTGAGCTATTCCCGCCACTGTATTTATTTTGTTATGTAATTTGTTTTTTATGTATATTTTTGAGCACTTATAAGCAAATTTTGTTTGAATTTTCAATCAGAGGTCTCAGATTCGAGACCCCTCTTCGAGGAGCCTGATGTCAAGCAGTAGTGACATCGGTTTTCACTTGGAAATTTAGATAGCAATATGTTTCCAAGTGAAAAAAAACTCTCATCCGGCATTACTGCATCAATAAAATATTAGTCCTATTACAGGTATTGTAATAATAAAATTTATCATCATCAGAGGTGACAACTAGGGTTTATACAAAAACCGATATTTTAATCGGTGTAATTTAGAGCAGTATTCGACTGAATTTATTTTTTGTTCAATTTTATAAATAGTAAACAAAATAATTTAATTTTAATTAGTAGAACTAAAAAATAATAGTTTATCTGGATTAAATAACTTTGAAAATAATTATTAGTTATTCATGCATCATTTTCACATATAAGAATGAAAATATTTGTATGATAGTGAAAGGAAAGTTTTCAAATAAATAAAAATAATACATTTTTAAATAAAAAAATGCATCATACATCAACACATATATGTTAATATCAATTTTAGTTTTAAAAATAATTAAGTTAAACTCAGGTATTGTCTGTTTCGCAATTTTAATTAATTAATTTTAAACATTCTAATCGTTTTTTTTTTGTTTAATAAAATATGATTTCAAAAAACTGAGAACGTCTATCAAATTGCTACTTAGACATGTCCTTTATTGTTTCTACAAAATTTTCTGAAAAAAAAAATACTCTCATACTTGCGACCAAATTATGCTTAAATGTTTTTAAAGCCTGATATAATGATTTTAAGTTTTTTTGTTATTTAATTTGTGGCTTCTAGGGTTTAAAACTTTTTTTTTAAGTTTGAGTAGAAGAAGTTAGTTCTTTAAGAAGAAGTCACACTGATCTAAATTGATATATACAAAACCTTTCTGGGAACCATTGCAGATTGATAAGATATCAAATGCTATTTTCCATTTATACTGTAAAAACCGACTTTTTTCAATAAAAAAACGGTTTTCGAATTCCATAATTATCGCAAAAAAACGGTTTTTGAAAACCCGTATTCTAGTGTAGAGCGATGAGTTTTAGGTCATTTTTAAAGTGTCGTAAAAAAAAGCAAGGAATGTTTTTAATATCCATTTTTGTACCACTTGTTTATTAATATTATTAAAATACAAAACAAAAATTAAAAAAATAAAAAAGTTGAAAATTGTAGAAACTGGCAGCTGATGGTCTCAAACAATTGGCACCTCAATCTTGGCATGATTTCAGCCCTTCTAGCCATCCGAAATAAAAGAAATAAAAAGATTATGAATCTACAATGATGTCGCAATCGCCTGAACCAGCGATGAGTAAAAAAAATTTTTTTTACAAATTACACGACAAACTTATTGGGTCAATAATTTTCTTCTAACCATCTTTTAAAAGAGAACTTGTAAAATTATCAGCAACAAATATTTTCTTCAAAAATTTATACATTTCCCCAACCTTCAAAAGCTCAGTATTCCGCGGATTGTGGCTTTCATAAACATATCAATCCATCTCTCATATTAAAAATAGATTATCTTCGAGCGCGTTCGGAATTGATTGAATGTGTTTGCACACGTTGTTTTTAGAAGTCTATCAATAGATTTTGCTGCTTTTTTCTTCCGTGATTGCTGCTTCGATCTGTCGATAATTTCTATTTTATTCATACATAGCGTGTTTCATTGTACGTTGTCTAGCTTTTATAGATTTGACGTCACATTCGAAGATAGCATTGCGTCAATTGATGATAGAGGAAAAGACACATTTGTTTTGTTGTTGACTTTTATAGGGCACAACTAGTGTGAAATTTTCAAAAATCGAATTTTCAATTTTTCAATATTTCGATAGGTTATACCTTTAAAAATAACATACCAAAATTTTAAATCGACATCTTAAATAGTTTTTGAGGCACAGCCATTTAAAGAGTATATATATAGTATATAGTACCAACGATCATTTTATCTTTAAACGCGCTTTTCTCCAAACAGCATTTTCCGAAATTGCTGCAGCGATTACTCAAAAACAAATGATCCGATCACTATCAAATTTATTTTACATGTTCTATATATAGTTCTCCGTAAAATGAACTATCGATTTTTTGATCGGATCAAAAATCGAATTTTGGCAGTCCAAAAGCGACCAAAATTTTGGGTAACATTCGACTTTTTTAAAAAAAACGCCGTCATTTTGTTATTTTTTTATTTTTTTCTTTATCATAGTTCATTGTACAGACAATATTATCTAGTTTAACGAGATTTTTTTTTTTAAATTTCATCAACGTAGAAGGCCGGAATCACTGCATCAGTGAAGGGCCTTTTTTGTCGCGCCGTTGGAAATCGACGATAACTTAAAAAATATTTAATTTTTTTCTTCAAAAATTTCACTATGTATTCTTAAAACATGTATAAATATATTCCTAAAATTTTGAAATGATTGATAAAGTAATTTTTTTAATATAAATTCCCGAAAATCACCTTTTTTTAGGCGGTTGCACTAGTTGTGCCCCTTAATAACATCATTAGGAAATGGTATCAGACCATAGCAAACTATTGAAGTCATATGATGTCATATCATGCTTGGATATGAAATGGGTATCAAAATTGACCAACAAATATACTTTTATTCCAATTTCATTTTTCTAATGATTACCAGTTTAAAACCGGTTGCCTGCTTTCATAGCTCATATCTTATTTCTAAAGGAATCCATAGACCAACTAGTCTGAGCTTTATACGGCAGACGAACCATGAAATTTAATATTTGTCACTCCATTGAACATACGTTCCTTCAAACTCATATCACATAGTGGAAAAAATGGCGATGTGTCTTCTCTTTGTGATCCTAAGTACTCATATATTATTGAAGAATTTCAAAAGGTTACATTTTAGTACCTATTAGGACATGGAAACATCGTACACCGGATTGGGAAAGGGAATTATTATATAATTGGATTGGAATATTAGATTTGCTCTGCTAAATCTCGTTAAATAATTAATTCTGAATATCTGGGTCATGGTACAAAATTTAAAGATCTGGAGGAATAGAGTTCGATGACTTGTACCATATATAATTGTGAGGCATTTTTTAAGGGTTGCACTCCCTACCAAAGATAATATAATCATAATATTGGAAAAAGTTATTTAGCGTATATTCTAATAACAAAATAAAAATTTATTATTATAATATAAATTTATTCGCGTAGAACTTGACACCCTCTGCAAAATGTGACTACTATAAATTTGAGTCTGCAAAAAATTACACTTATTATACATGCTTATTTAGAGCTTAGGTAAAGAAATACGTAAAAGAATTTAAAAGTATTGATTTTTGTATGGTTGTCGAGTATTTGAATTAGAGCAAAATTTACTGTGGTGTTACTCCTTAAATGAGGTTGATAAATTGTCGGATTCGGCTTTGATCACTTTTGTATTTTCGATTTTTCTCAAATTACTTTTCGGTAGTAAATGTTTTATCTTGTGTTTGTTACAATTTTATTACAAGCGCTTTTTAGTTTCCATTCTATGTTATGCACCCTCCATTTAAAGTAGTTTTTAGTACGTATATTATTTTTATGCAATCTTTCTTTAAATCAAAATTGCTTGCTTTTCTTATATGTTTTATTATAATAAAAGGAGTGCTTTCATATTAAATTTGTGAGTTATTTGCCAAAAACCAAAAAATGACCCGATTTTTTTATTTTTTGCTAAACAATGCAATATCAAATTCAAAGTCGTTTTATGCAAAACTTTTATATCGGACTATAAATAACTGTATTTATAGAAATGTAGTAAATTTGATATAATTTCACCCTATGTAAGTGAAAAAAGATGCTTTCATATAAAATTATGAGTTATTTACCAAAAACCAAAAAATGTCCCGAATTTTCTATTTATTGCTAAATAATGAAATTTCTAAATGTTTATTTTAATAAATGATATTGCATAAATATATTTCAAAGTTCCTTAAATATTATGTATAATTTTTTTTCGAAACTTCTACCCTTAGCTTCATGTTAGTCATATTTTATACTTCGTATCATACATAGATGATGAGGAAAGGGGTCTCATCTTTTTTTATATTACTAAACAATTTTTTTTTTCAAATTTTTTATAAGACTGTCTTATAATGTTTTACCCACACTTCAGTCAAAAAGCTCGATTCATATTGTTTTTCTCAATTGTAAAACTAACTGCGCAAATTGCTGAATTTTCATTACTTTTTATCATTTACATCTACATTCTGGTCTAGAATTTTTGAAACATCTATGTTTTAGATTTTCAAAGTTTAACTATTCCAGAATATATTCACAAGAGAATTTTTCGAAATTTAAATTATTTTCGGAGATATAAATCGGTTGACCACGATAATCTCGGTTTGACAAACTTATTTTTTCTCGAAATTAACTTTTTCGATACAATACTCACGATTTCTCGACTTCTACTGAACCTATTTACTTGAAATTTTTGCAGAGTCTTCTTAATAAACTTGTCGTCAGT